TGACTATCATAGTCCGAATTGCTGAAAATTTGATCGGCATCAGGCATCAGTGAATAGTCAATATATTAATTGTACTTGGGCTGACAAATGGGCTGGAGGAACCAGGAGCTTCCAAAGAGCGGTCTATTGTGCGTCCCGGAGATGAATTAGGATTGTTCGAACAGTAAAGCGGATGTTGTGAATGAGCAGTATCAATAGTGCTTATCAACTGGAAATAGCCGGCAGATGCTTGAGGCGTTGCACTGGAGCACGGAAGCTGATCAGGAAAATTACTGTAACTAATGTATGCATACTTGCCTGACCCCACCACCGGACTCGACCGCAGGTCCAGAACGACGCTGATGGCAGGAAATAGAACGACTTCGATGGCGGGAAACAGCTAGCGTGACTGGATCGAGTGGTTCGAGGTCTCCCATAATGCGACAGACAGTGCGTTCTGGTTTACAGCGTTCCAATTCACATCGCGGCATCCAATTCTGAATCAGCATACTGGGTCTAGTCCGGAGATGGGAGTTGAGAACAACCTTTGACCAGCTTCTCGATTGAATCCGATTTCACGCTAGGATGTATACAAGAAAGGTACAGCCAAAACAGCTCGGTGGGTAAGGACCTCGGTAAAGACATTGTCATCCGTTACTGCTTTAGTACCACCAACAAGTGGTTTGCTGGTGAGCGAGCCTTCATCGCGGCGCCGCATAAGATCGCCGGAACTCAAGTGAGTTGGAGCTGTCAATGCGATTCGTTTCGACAGCTGAGCGATCTGCTGTCCTTGCTTAGTAATTTCCTTCCTAAGCTCAGCGTGTGCGATTTCCTGTTGCTCGGTGATAGAATTAATCGCACTGCCAAACGACGAAACAGCAGTTTTGAACCGGGCACATTTCATCAGCTTCGCGCACTCGTTGCACATCCAAAACAAGTTCGGGCTAGTGTGGACAATATTCAGAAAAGCCTTGTTCAGCTTTGAGCCGCCGCATTTCAGGTGAATCATCCTGTCGCAAAAAGCCATGCAGAAGACGGATTCTTCATCGCCTTTAACTGGTTTAGCGCATTGGTCACAGGCGGAAGTCATGCTCAGGCTCAGTTTCCAAATCTAATTTAGAAACAGCGGTGGAGATGCTCTAATACGCAAGGAGGAGTTGGATTCTGCAGAGCGTCTGATATCGACAATAACACAACAGTAAACACTACAAGATGACCGATTAGATAACTTTTTCACTATTTCACAACACGGAATATGCTCCAAATAGACGATTATCGCAACGAACTGCACTTTCCACTAACAACCGGTAAAATTTTGCAAGTCTACAGAACGGGAAAAACGAACAACGATAGCATAGCCCGTGTGATAAAAAATAATCAAATTTAACAGCGCAAAATCACGACGATGTGAATAACAACAACGATTAATGTCGACTTCAAATTATGGATATAATTTTAGATACAGATAATGCAGTAAAATTGTTACTGTTAGAATGTTTTTAGGACCTAATGCATTGTTCTTAAATGCCTTAAAGGGTGTCCACGATGAAATTGCCACACACAAAATTGATTCGCAAAATTCGAGCTTTCATCCGATTGCCATCAAATTTTCAGGGATTGAGAAATAACTATTAAACTTCATTTTACCATTTTACTCGTATTTTATTTACAGTCCATACGCAAATGCCCGCACCTTGGCCTTAACCCCGGCCATAAGATTCTGCACAACCTGTGAATCAACCGTTTTTTGCATGTAAACCCATACTTTCTTCAGTTCCTCGACTGTCTTCACTACCTTAGGTCGTTTAAGAAGGTACTGCTTCATAATCGCCCAGTACTTCTCGATGGGGCGGAGCTCCGGAGTGTTGGGAGGGTTGAACATTTTCGGCACGAAATTGACCTTATTGTCCGCATACCACTTCAGCACGTCCTTGGAGTAGTGGCATGAGGCCAAATCCGGCCAGAAGATTGTTGGGACGTTGTGGGCCTTCAGGAGAGGAAGCAGCCGCTTCTGGAGGCACTCTTTTATGTACACCTGTCCGTTCATCGTGTCCTGGGTCACGAAAGGTGCACTCCGCTTCCCGCACGTGCAGATGGCTTGCCAAACCAGGAATTTCTTCGCAAATTTGGACATCTTCTGAGTGCGGACATGCTCCGGAACGCTGAACTTATCCTTGGCCGTGAAAAACAGGTTGCCGGGGATCTGTTTGAAGTCGGCCTTCACATATGTTTCGTCGTCCATGATGCAGCATTCAACTTTCGTCAGCATGTTGAGGTACAACTTCCTGGCACGGGTTTTGGCGGACTTGTTCTGCTTCTCGTCGCGATTAGGGGCCTTTTGTACCTTGAACGTTCGAAGCCCAGCCTTAGTTTTGGCCTTCTGGACAAAACTTCGGCTTAGGTGCAGCTTCTTAGCCACATCCCTAACGGAAGCGTTCGGATTTCGGTTGAAGGCCCCAACTACGCGGTTGTGATTTTTGGTGTTGTACGGAATACTTTTTCCTTCACTTCTGGGCTTCCGATCGGTGGTCAACCGTTCCTCGAACCGCTTAATCACTCGCGACACCGTGGAATTCGCGATTCCCAACGTTTTAGCGATGGAACGATGCGAGAGATCCTTGTTCTCGTGATGAATGCGCAAGATTTTATCACGCACGAGCTGTTCTTTCGACTCCATTTCCGCGAGTTTTGATCACAGGACTTTAAAACTTGCAGGATGTAAATAATGCACTATGAACTAAATCCACCCAAATTTTCATTAAATTCTACCCAACGGTTAAAAAGTTAGAGCAATTTCATAGTGTGGCAATTTCATCGTGGACACCCTTTAGCTACCTCTACTCTTACAGAAGCGTCACAAAATAGACTATCTTTTGCTATTATCTAGCATGGTGTATTCTATAGCTGCTCTAGCATCTATTACGCCAAACACGATAAGAAACGGTTCTGTAATCAAGTTATTAACGGAAGAGAAAGTCGATGAAGAGAATCAATGTTAGTTAGGACCAGGACTTTATGCACTGGTCGGGTTAAAATCCTTTCGTTATATTATATAATATAGTGGAGATACATATGTAATGCAAAACACTTATGAATTTCCATAGCTTATTTTGCTGATTGAAAGTTCGATTTTAAAGTTCGAATCCGGGCTGGCGCGGATTTTTTATCAGTGATGTTTCATATGGCAAATCAATGGTCATCATACCGATTTCTTATGGCTATAATTCACAAGGCAATCCTTTGAATCTCAATTTAGCAAAATGTTCAAGTTTTCCGGATTATTTCGACACACAGTTCGATGAAAGAATGAACGATCTGCTATCTAATACAGCGAATAAAGACCGATTCAAAGTAAATTTGGACGCATTCAAGTTATCATAACTCAAGAATTAAACAACATACACGGTTGATCAAAACGTCAAACAAAAGGGTATTTATTCCGAGGGGGACAACTCTATCTACGATGCAGGAAATATTGTGTTTTGATGTGACTAGCTGCGCGTATGCTGAGTAGATAGAAAGAAGATTTATCACGATTTTGAAGATTTCCTGCAAAAAGATGATGCTCGATGCAAGTAGATGCTAGAAATGAAAGAAGATTTTTCGAAGATTTATTCGCTAGTGTGAGATTTTTTGAACATCTAGAATTGCGATTTAGATGTGTCGCCCCCCTCGATTTATTCAGCTTTCAAACGATATATAACAAGTTATTGCATTTCACCGTTTCGAACGAACTGTTGCACTTTACTTGTGATCGATGCCATCATGATCTGCCCAGTCGCTGGTGACACTGTACCGGCGAACTTATTCCACTTTAAACGCATTTGTTGTGCATTTGTCACTTCTTTACCGCATCCTCGAAGGTTTCGCTTGACAATTGCCCACTATTTTTCGATCGGTCTGAACTCAGGGCAATTCGGAAGATTAATCTCTTTGGCGACGAAATTAACATTGTTTGCAGCATACTATTCTAGTACCTCCTTAGAGTAGCGGCAGCTGAGTAGATCCGGCCAAAACATAACGTTGGTCTTGTGTGGCCGAATGAAGGGTAAAATCCGCTTTTTCAGACACTCTTTAATGTAAACCTTCGACATCATTGTGTGAGATGTGATGAAAACCTTGGTTTTAAGCCCACAACTGCAGATTCCTTGCCAAATCATTAGTTTCCGAGCAAACTTATCAGCAAAAACAAATTTATACCTGGGAAGGACATCCCCACGACCAGTTGCTAGGTAAAATTTTCGTCCGGGGATTTGTTTATAATCCATTTTGACATAATTTTTTGTCATCCATTAAAATACAGCCATCAAATTTGTCAAACTCGTTCGTATAGTAATCGTGTTACTAAATTTTGATTCAGGGAGCGATTCGGATGTTTACTGGCCCAACAAGACTTATATCCTTCTTTTGAAAGGATGTTACGGATGGTGGAAAAGTTGGAATCGTATTTCTTTTCCAAATCACGTATGGAGACACCTTTCTCCTCAGCTCTTTGCCCCTAGTGCCACTTTTATGAAAGATGCGCTGTGCTCTATCCACACTCAGAGTATCCTTGTAACGTTTGATTACAAGACTCACCGTTGACTTTGGTTGATTTTAACACTATTTGCTATTTTTGAGGCAGACCACGAAAGGTTCTCTAGATGTTTGTGCACAATTAATTTTCTTTTCTCAAGTTCTATGATCCGTAACTTCGGGATGCGTCGATCAATTGAGAAAAACTTGTCACCAATTTCTTCGTCAATGAAACATCAACAAATGCCTGTCAAACGTTTTTTGTTCCAACCACCAGGGGCGCGGTGGTGTATTAAACCGTGCGTCCAGATTTACTTTGAAGCGAGCTTTACGTCAGGAAACGTTAACATTAACGAAGTAGAAAGTGAATGAAGAAAATCCTTCAACATAGATTGGTCTTTAAGAAAACAAAAATAAGGGAACCTTCTCGGCTTCCTGCTTGACGCATCTCATTACTAACGTTAATTAAACATCCCTAAAATGGTTATTTCTATTGTCCATTGCAGAAAGCCGCCTCGGTGAAGGATGCCCTGGACCTGCTGGTTGGCAAAGACCAACTGGAGGGTGTAACCTGTGCGAAGACCAAGCAGGAAATCGCTGCCTGGCAACAGGTCACCCTGGAGGAGCTACCAATTGTGATGATCTTGCATCTCAAGTGCTTCGACTACAAGATGGACGGTTGCACCAAGATCCTAAAGCCACTAGAATTCCCGATCGAATTGAAAATCGATTCAAGTAAGTTATTTCAACTTTCTTCAGCTGGAGCTTGTCCTAACAATAGATCTTGTTTTACAGAACTCATGTCCTCAAAGGGCAAATCGTACACTGCCAAACAGAAGCAGTACAAACTGTTTGCTGTGGTGTATCACGATGGTAAGGAAGCATCCAAGGGTCATTACATTACTGATGTGTTCCACGCTGGTTACGGTAGCTGGATCCGGTACGACGACAGTACGGTCAAGCCCGTTTCGGAGAACAATGTACTGCACCCCAAGTCACCGCGGGTGCCATACTTGCTGTACTATAGACGGCTCGATACGCACTATCACGGGGGTGGTGGCGGTAGTGGTGGTGGTGGTGGTGTTGGCAGCGGTAGTGTTGCTGGTGCAAGTGTTAGTTCCGGACCCGGAACTACCGGTTTTGGTACCGGAACCAGTGTCAACACAATCAGCACCAACAGTAGCAGCAGCGGCAGCAGCAGCATCAGCAGCAGTGGTGGCAATAGCAATTATAGTTCTAGTGGAATTAGTTATAGTGCAACTACTGGCGGACACTACGGCGGTGGTTCCAAGTAAGCAAAAGTGGATAATCGAACAGTTTGTATAGTTTTTATATCGGTTGAAAACGGACAACCACGATAGTGTGCGCGAGAGCTGTTGTACGGAAGAACGTAACGAAAAAGGACGTTTTTATCTTTATCTAGTTTTTAGTGTCGGTCGTTGATAAGTGCGTGAGTGGCTGCGATTATGTGGTGTGTTGTGTGAAACATTTGCGTTTTTTTAAGTCCTAGGATATATCTGTGTGCGGCACAAGCGGACGTTGATAACGGCGCGATAAAATCGTGTAGGATCAACGAAAAAAAGAAAAGAAAGGAAAACATCAAACGTTAGCTCGTAGGTGCAAGAAAGGTTGTTGTTTGCGTAGCTCCTATTACGATACATTTTTTTCTTCTTCAGTTTGTTACTCTATTATTATATTATCACTCTTTTGTTTTTTTTTTGTGTGGGATTTATCGATACTCTTATTTAAGTTCCTCCTGATAAAATATCCTTCTAGTGTTAGACATAACGAAGCAGTTTCTGTACTCAGAACTCAATTTACGGAAGAACTTTTTTTTTTATTTAATGGTACGTACATATTAGCAACAAGGCTTGGGAGAGAGTGGAGCAGTGAAAGTAATACGCATTCAGTCTAGTTTCTCATATATAAATAGTGATTGTTTTACTAGGGAAAGCTTTGTAATAGTGATGTTTTCGATTTAATATAAATTGTATCAGTCGATGACTATTGGTTGCACATTGTTAACGATGCTGCTGTCCTCGGTGGCGATTAGATGTCGCTGGACGCCATAAGTGTGTTGGTCGAAGCTGCTGAAAGCCTTCTGCCGGCATGCTTATGGCGTTGGAATAGAGCAAAGTGAAGGGTTGAAAACGTTACGGAGGCGAAAAAAGCTTGTTTTTTGGGTTGATTTCCATTTTTATAACGAAATAATTTTTAATTAGGCATTCGGCTTGTAAGCTAATCAAGAACCAATATATACACACATACATAGAACGCATATGAGAAAAGAAAATTTAACCTTCTCACTGTTAGATAGGTAGAGAATGGTAAACAAGCCAAGCAAAGGAAAAATAACGCAAGCGGATAAAATCCCAGTTAGCAGCAGCAAGTCCGATTGCTCAGGGTGATGGTTTCCGTGCGTTCGACTTGGCATGGCAATCATCACCGAATTGAAAACTTATGTCAAGTAGAAAACCACATACATTTAAGCGAAGGAAAGCGATTTTCCGTATATTATTGCTATATTGAAAAGTTGAATAGAATAATCCCGCTACTCTTGGACGTGCGACCGAGAGAGAGAGAGAGAGAGGGAGAGGTATACAAAGAGTAGCGGGTAGTGGTGTGCATGTAGTTAGCGCTTTCCCCCCACCCAACTAGACTGTCGTGGAGGAAGTTGTGGATTGCCCACGAAGAGTCTCAACTGTGTGTTTGCGTGTAAATAGATGTTTCAGAAACTAACAAATTAATGCAACAAAAAAGTCTGTACATAGAAGATAGCGGTTGGAGAAATGAAAAAAAGCGACTAGGTTTATTCTATTAATATTAACTAGGTAGTGCTTTGGAGAGGGTGTTAATGATGAAAAATGCAACGGCCAGGAGCGTCCAATATGGTTACTACTATTCTCGATACCCTGATTGGTGGAAACAGAAATCAGGTCACGGGAATCTAATTTGCCGGCGGAAAGACATTGCGTTTTCATGGTTAGAGATCTAAAATAAAAACAAAACAAAACAAACAAAAAAAAATGGAGAGGGAATGTAAAGGAAGACAGTGTTAGGATTTTTATTTGGATCGTATAAATTCCAACCCGTGACAGGAGTAAGGTAGCCACTTGCACCACATTCTACAAGAATGGTCGCAGTTTTAGGTTTTTCGTTTTGAATTTGGAAGGAAGCCGACAATGGGAACTGTAAACTATTAGCAGCAAAAACAAAATGTGGCAAAATGGAAACCGGTATGTGTACTCTAGTTTTAGCGTGTTCTCTGGTAAGGCGTACTGTGTATAGTCATTGTAGAACGTTTAGGACGTAATCATTATTTAGCGTGAAAGTGAAGTAATAAAGTAATACAAGAAATATGTATAGGTAACTTATCCTCCCGTTATGATGGTACATAGAAACGAGAAGTTTTGTTTATGTTTTTCTGTTTGTTTTAATTTGCGACGGGTATGATTTGGAAAGGAGAACAGGATGTGGCAAGAGCCGAGTGCGGATGGGTTGGATTTTTGTAAGGTTGATTGGAAGGTGTTAGAGTAGATGTCTTCTAAATATACTTCAAGGAATATTCAGAACAAACTTAAGACAGTCAGCTTCCTGGATTCAAAGTGTTGCATGTGAATAACAATCTGAAAAGACCAAAAGCAGCAGAAGGCCGCAGAGGAAGGACGGCAACAAGGAAATGTAAAGATGAAAATTTTAATCGTATTGGCTGTGTAAAAAGGTGGTAGGCTGAATAGGTAAAAAACCATGTTAAGGAAGATTACTACCGTAGAAGCCCGTTTGTTTGAATAGCTACGCAGGTGCGTAACGCAATTGGGGCACCTTTGTAGCACCAGTTAAACAAATTCCGTATGCACTGCGTTTAAATGCGATATGAGCTATTAAAACTAACAGTGGTCTACACGGTAACCGCAAAAAACTCTTTTATAACTATTAAGTACGAAGGTAAACGGGACTACCTATAAAATGATTAAAATTTTACGCATTTATGAGTATCTGCTAGTACAAAAAATAGTAAACATGATTCATTTATGACTAACAGATACTCATAAAAGGTGTAAAACATATAAACATGTTTGGGGTAGTCCCGTTTTCCCCGAATATGCATACTTTGAGTCCTTTATTGTCATTATTGTGTATTTTGCATTTTCCGTGTACGGTATTAATTTCAGAAAATATACCAACATTTTAATGCAAAGCTATCAATAATTTTGTAGTTGACTACTTGCAAGGTTGTTTGTTATAAATTTCCCTACCTTTTTAAATTAATAAGGTAGAAAAAAAACCTGTTTTCCAAAAGGTGCGGCACGAAATGCCCGAACTGAATTCACTCGAAAGATTTAGGTTTTAGGAGAAATAGTAAAACGCCCATGGCTGGCAAAATGCATCCCTCTTAACCCTTTATAACGCCGAGGAAATAAAGCATGACATCGACACGTACTACAATAAAAGATAAAGTTCAGATGGTGTCATTACAAATTCAATTTTGTTTTAGAAAAAAGTACTCAAAAATAATGTATGAAACAATTGGGTTCAAATTTTGGTAATTTTCCAAAAAAGTTCTAAAATGTGTGATTTTTCTGGTCGTGCGTCAAAATTCCTAAAATCTTGGCAGCTGATTGATCAAATATTCAAGGTTTATGTGTAAAGTTTTGGGCTTGATTGTAGGAATCTTTCGGAAGTTAGAGGAATTTTAGTAAACCTCTTCATTTGTGAGCACCCATTTTCAAACTGCCATATTTTTACGGATAATGATCATCGTTAATTTGGCTTCTATTTTACTAAATACGTTCAATACGAATATAACTTAGTAATAGTTATTTTTTCTGATAATAAAATTGCCGTTTATTGACACAAATGTTGCTTTCAAATTGTCTTTTTTAATTTGTTGTGACTTTAAAATGTAAGGAGTGTTGACGAATACCAGAAGATAGATATTGTGAGTCAACAGAAAAAAAATATAGTTGCTTTAAAATGAAGTAGAGTTTTGTTTTCTTTCATGCAACATGCATCACTTCCATAACGCCTAGCTAGTCGCGAAACGAAAATGAAAAGAAGCACCAAAGCACACTTAGAACGAAAGGCAGGCTATGGATTTTCACATCTTTGCTTTGCTCACTCCTTTCAATGGCAGTATCGTCGATTTTCGAGTTGAAACGAAGCCTCATTGGGGCTTTCAATTCCTTTCACCGACACTATGTCACCTGCTCTTTCAATTTGTTTAATATGCGTTATGTCCCGTTTTCGTTACTTTTTTGTTAGATAAATATTTGGATGGAAGATGAATTAAACATATTAATCAATAACAATGTCATCTTCAAGTGTTTTCATGTGAGAACTGCTTTAAGTATATATTTTCATATTCCGTCATATACCTACGTCATAAAACCGCGGATGATTTCACTCGTCCGCTTCATCGAAGTATGAAAATCGAATGAAACGACGGGAGAAAGAGACACCAACGATTGAAAATTTGTTTTTAGACGCCGACTGTGGTGCTAGAATGATGAGAAGCTGCTCGACTTCAACAGGAAAGAGAGCTAGCAGTCTCTTCGTCGCATCGATTTTCACGATGAAGCCAATGCTTTATAAAGGGTTAATCCTAGCTACTACACTGCAGCAAAACTTCACGATGTTTAATAAAGATATCGCTTTGAAAAATCCAACGAAAGTTTTGTGTCAATGATTTTCATATGATCATCCTTTAAAATACATATTTCGGAGAACAGTAGCCACCTGGAAAAAGATACGTTTTATATGATTTTCCAATAGCGCAATTGTATATGAAAATCATTGCATTTTACGTGTCATTTTCGTTCAGTGCAGCTGATACGATGGCGAAAATTTGCTGCCACTAAGGCCGTTCGCAATGCTGAGTTTCAACATTTTTTCAAACTACCCGACAGTTTTAAAATTTGAAACTGTCAAAAATGAAACTGCAACATGATCAACGCAACGCACAGTTTTAAAAGGTGTTTGATATTCATCTCTACATATGTGTGCGTGTGCCAATTTTGTTTTATTTTAGTACAAATGAAGAAAGTGAATGTGATTCAAGAATAATCCCTAGAACAAGATGGTTACAGCTACGTAATCCAAGTAACGAGTTCGAACCACGAGAAAAGGTCCCGGACGATTTTGCTGTCAAAACATACTGAACCAGGATGACTTGGAAAAAATATCCAGTGATGTGTTTGGAGACCTATGAGCACCTGAAGGTCTTTACAATAATTTCTGAGACTGATGATATCAAATGAAAATCTCTGAAATACGGTGTTTGAATTATTGAACAGTTGAAGATCATCCTGAAGTATTGCAAACATATCCTGATAAGATTTTTGAGACCTGTGAGCACCTGAAGGTTTTTTAAATAATTTCTGAGACACCTGATATCACAAGAGACGGTATTTGAATGTTGGGCAGTTAAAGATAGTTGATCATCCAGAAGTATTAACAAAATATCCAAAGAATTTTTTGGTGAGCTGTTCTGATCAGATCTGATCACCTGAAGGTCTTTGGTATAATTTCTGAGTCACGTGGTATCATAAGAGAATATCTGGAATATTTTGGAAAAATTTGGAGCTAATTTATTTGCTCGATCAATTTGTCGACTCCGAACAATCATAGAATGAGATTTCGTTTCGTCACCTCGTTTTCCCCTAGCCGTTTGCCATCTGTCAGATTAGCAGCTCCACAAATATATCCATAGAAATTTGAGACAGAGTTGCATTCGTGTTTCAAACCCGCTCATAAATAATACAGAATAGTCGAGCAGTTGCAAATATGGTGCAAACTAGTACTCGAATAATGAAAGTGCAACTTAGCATTGCGAGGGATGCGTTTCTGTTCTAGTTTCAAATTGAAACAGTCCATATTAAATACAACAGCATAGCGAACAGCCTAATGGAAGCAGAAAGCTGTTGAATGGAATTCAATTGTAATTTATTGTGGTTTCTATGAATATTTAGACTTTCTCGGCGAAATGTGGAAGCTGTTTGGCGGCCTTTTGAAACCTTTGAAACTCTTACCATTTCAGTTTTTCCTTGTCGTTTTCGCGCGCAAACAGGTTTACCAGCTGGATTTATTATGTAATCATGACCGGCTGCAAGCTCGAGAACGAAGGGCTCAAAGTAAATATGTGAAAGATGATTACCCAGCTGGTTTTGGAACAGAAGAGTTAAAAGTAATCATCAGAAGAAACGTCATGAAAACTAAAGAGCTTGAATTTATCAAATGAATGAAAGGTGAATGGTGAATGAGAACACCTAAACACAAGAGACACACAGGAGAGGTCACAACACAAGTTAAGGACGCACTTAATTCCCGCGTCACACGCTGTCCATACCTTCTTGGCTTCTGTTATTGTGGCATACCCGTTTGCACACAGGTTTTGAACACAACTTGTTGTGTAAGCCATCCATTCGACGGGTGCAATACAGTGAGTCAATAGCCCGAGTCTTAGAAGAGGCGCTTCGTCTGTCATCGCCTGAAACCCGGACCTTCTCGCTGTCTCCATCAAGCAAATCATCGCACTCATGTCTTTCATACCCTTCACGGGTAACATAGACCTCAGTATCGTCGGATTACTTTCTGTCTCTATGATGGCCTTGAGGAGCAGTCCTTGTTCTGTTAGCTGTGGCTCGACCATATTACTTGTTGTTGACACTTGTACCGACTGCTGGCAATTTGTTTATGGCCGAGCTCACCGACCCTACTGTCACATTCAATGGTAGTAAGGGATCCGCCCACATAACAGGGCTATACTGCGACCCCTCGCTCACTGACTAACTCCTCCGTGTCGCACGGGAGGAATTTGGCCCCCATTGGGACCGGGTCTCTCAACGGCTCCATAAACAACTTGGCCAGGAGTGTCGCCGTGCCAGCGTTGGCACTTGACTCTCCTCTGATGTTGTGGGCCCCTCCAACCTCCCTGCCTGGGTGTGGAGTACTTGCATCTCCACTTCGTCCACCACCCCCTCCTGGGCCCGGGGGCCCATCACCAGATCCACCATTTCCTGGACAGCCGCCGCTGCCACCTGGCCCGCTACCCGAAGGTACCGGCGCAGCACCGCCCCCGCCCGATCTCGGAACGTTCTTCCCGGATCCGGGTATGGCGTTACTGTCGGCCGCCATTGAGCGTGTGACTCGGGGATTAAGTGCGTCCTTAACTTGTGTTGTGGCCTCTCGTGTGTCAACCACGTCCCAATTGTCCCCATCTGTGAGTAACACGGTGTTCCCTCCACGAAACCCCGAGTCGTCCGAACTGTTCAAGGTACCGACGAAAGTACCTTGATCGACAGCTTGTGAAACAGCTGCCATTGTGAGCCCCTTGGTGTTGTCCATGGTTCTGTGAGATTTTTTGTTTAGGTGTTCTCATTCACCACCACCTCACCACCATAAATTCAGGCTCTTTAATGAAAACCAAGCGTTATATCTAAATAGGGCTGGAATTAGGGCGTAACAGCTTTTGTAAACAATGACTTCTCTCGATGATTTTCCGAAAGTCATGACTCTCCCTGGTAAATGGACATCACCATCGAGTAGGGGAAGACTTCCCCTATCCGATGGATATGTTGGTTTGTGTAGGCTTACCTTGAGTTCATAGAAATCAACGAGAGAAGCAATTGTTTACAAAAGCTGGTACACCCTAATTCCAGTTCTATCTAGATATATGTTTCATGGTGGGATTGGTGAGAGCGAAATCGAAAGCGAAATTTGAGAACGACGAAATTAAAATCACTCGAGTCTAAATGAAGAAGAATTTCGCAATATGAAATTGAAAAAACCATTTTGCCAGAAAATGAGGCAAGAAAACAAGTTTCTTGAAATGGCTGTACGGCGAATGAGAATGACCCAAATTTGAGTTTTGTTTACTTATAATCACCAACTGTGCAGGAACTCAGCGATGAGTAAATTTGCCTCATGGTTTCCTGTGAAAAACCTAAAAAATCTGCCGGAAAATTAGAAAATTTTACTCAGCTACGAGTACAGGTATACCTTGATTTAACGTAACTGTCACTTTTGACCTCCATCGTTAATATCTCCCTAATAACAATTGAATCATACAACTTAATATTACTTTGCTTGTTTGAATGATCGTTTGAGAGAAGTCAAAAGTGATAGTTACGTTACATCAAGGTATACCTGTACCAATAGACTGAGTGAACCAAACTTTACTTTTCTCATATTCGGGAATTTGTTCCTGGACAAACCTGTAAAATCCTCGAAAAGCATGAGGCAAAGTTACTCACCGCTGAGTTCCTGCACTTTATGTGATTTATGAGTAAGCTGATAACTACCAACATTTACGAATTGAATGATGCAAGATGTTAGATATACCCTTCATCTTCCAGTTCGATGGCTCCTCAAGCGGTATGTGTATTCGAAAAATAGTAGTAATTTTCAACATTACTATTTGTTACTCTAAGTGGGGCAAAATGCGCCCTGCCATTTACCATAAACGAACGATTACCCAAATAATAGAACTATACCATAAATGGTTTGGATAATACCCCGAACACGTCGTTAAGCAAAATAACCATAACATTTTTATAAGGGTAGACAAAACCTAAATGTATGCTTGTTTAGCATGGAATCAACATGCGCACTTTGTCTGCACTATTTCTAAAACAGGTTTTTGTTGGCCTTTTTAATTTTACAAATTTACATGGGCTAATCCAACATTTAGATGGCATTGATATCGATTAAACGGAGATCTTCCTTTAGCATCGACATTTTACTCCCGTCTCCTGTATCGATGTTTCTCCAGTATTGAATAGTAATCCTATATACAGAGATTAGCGAAAATATTATCAGACGATTTGGCAACGTGATTTATTTTGTTTACTAAAGCTGCCAACACATGCCGCGGAGCAAAATGTTTCAGCTTCGTGCGTGACTTTATCGTTATATACGCTGCGCGTTTATGCACGTTGTTTGAATTCTCAGTTGGAGAATAATTTTTCCTTAAATTCCTAATAACATATACTAAATATGAAGTGCATTGCAAAGTTTTGCCCTAGCTGCGGTCGTGGAAGTGCAACAATGTTAGTATTTTCCGGTGCTGAACTTTGTAAAGAAAGGCTGGAGTTTTGCGAACTACCGTCAGATTTTCCCCTTGTGGATTCTATGCGTTTGTGTAGATATGATAATTATTTGGTGGTATCTAGTTAAAATGTAATGCTTCTTGCAGTACCACTTCGAGCACATGCAATTCTATTTTTCTACAGTTGGTGGGAAACTTATGAAGCTGCCTGGAGCGATCCCGGCTCATCAGCACCAAGTGCATGTTGTGCAAAAACCATTCCGTGGTTTGACGTCTCAATGCTTTTGACCAACAATATCCAAAACTCTCTTATGTTAACATACACATTTTACTGGTATACTATTTTTTTATTATAAACTTTGTTTTTCTTGATTTGTTTTCCGTCAATCTTGTTTTCCGTGCTGAGCACCAATGCTACCGACGCCAGGGAGGATATTATACACTTTGTTCGGAGTTATTTTACCCCGATTGCAATACTTTTCAACTGAAACATTATGGCAAATAATTAACATGCTCGTTTGGCTCACATTTTGAATGTTCTCGCTGCTCGATTGACTCAAGAAGGCCGCTTCTGCGAATCTCTATATAAAGTATTACTATATAGTATTGAATATCAAAGATTCACGCCTGATAGTTATGCTACCCTCGCTGTATGCAGGTCATTGCAGTGCGGAGTATGATGGAATTAAAAATGTAAGTGGAAAATAATCAAAGGGGTTGATAACGCCCCTGTTAAGAAAGATAACCATTAAACTATGAAAATAAACCGAAATGTAATAATTAAGCCATCATTATAGTGAGGTATTTCAATTTATATTTATGTTGGGTATAAATCGATTGTCTGTTGTATAGATTTACAATCAAAACAGAAACACAACCCTGAGGCTGAGGCCGCATTGTGGAAGTCGAAATGACAGACTTGTGCAAAGCGTTCATGCAAAGAATGCTTCGTTTCAAATTCCGCAATGAGGCCCCTGATTTCTATTAGTTGCGGGGCAAAATACGAATAATGAACTCTTTCCGTGAAAGCGTACATATAGGCTTTAACACGGTGTACGGTGTTCACCCCTATTCTCTTTTCGAATGAAACCTCAGACCATTCAAATCGAAACATTGAAATCGCCTTTTTGAATGATAGCTGCAACCGGATGACGGTTGTTTTGAAATCAGAGCATTTGCCTCTCGAATATAGGATGAACATTATTATGAGAAAGGATAAGGCCTTCAGTTGGAATGCGTAATGCTCTCTGCAGGAAGATAGACATTTTAAATTGAAATGCAGCCCTGATGACGCCCACAAATCATTCAAAACGATGATGTAAATAATTCTATCGAACGTCATTTGATACTCTGAGCAGACAAACGAGGTGGAAGTATAGCCATCGCTATCAGAGGTGGTACATTGGTAAAGCGTGGAAACCGTAGATTTTCTATTTCGTGGTGGAGGGAGTTTCCTCTACCAAAAATAAATTTTTGTGTCCATGATGAATGGCTATTCATGGCTATTCAATATGGAAACGTAAACAATCGAATTAATAATCTAATCTAAACATTTGCAAGTCATCAATTTTCAAATAAATATCCTTTATTTGGAGGACAGTCATATGCATGCTCATCAGTGGATCAATGAAAATGCTGAGGTTTTGACAGAACAGTACTGTGGCTACCACAGTATTTTACATTTGA